GCACTTCGTCCAATTTGCGCACACCTCCCACGCATACATGATTTAGAATGTATTTAGCGCATTTTATGCCATATGATAAAGATTTGGTGCGCTATTACTAGGCAGCCACAGAGGTCCCTCATATGAGGGATTACGAGCCGCGTAAGTCGCGAGGCTACGTGGCGCATCCCCAGGTGGCGGATAGGGGGTTAATCGCGGGCCAAAAGCCACCGCATGTTTCCCTGAGATGCAAGTGAATCCCGGGGATGGACTCCTTGTTGTTTCTGCTTCACCGATTTCCACATACTTTCTGTATTTACGAGGCGTATTCATGCACACGTGTGTGGGCGTGTTCAAGTTTATACGGATTGTATTCTACGAGTCTATTCGGCCAAAAGCTTGCAGCGAAGTGACAGGGAAATATATGGAGTATATGGGAGGTGGTTAGGAGTCGCCTCCGACAAATATCCAAACGAAGAAGAAGTCGAAGTGTTCTTTACGGACAAATAAGCTCCATGTCCACTCTGGTAGAGACTGGCAAGCTACTCGTGAGTATACCCAGCCTCCACCTTCAGAGTCTAGCAAGCTATACGTGGGTATCAAAAAGCTAAAAACAGTAAAAGAAAGGGGCCTCACTCCCTTGACCGCGAAATAGCCCCGATTCGGCAGCGTTGGGTAGGACGAGTACGGAAAGGCTGCTAAAATCCCAGTGCCATCCTATGTTGCCTAAACCGCAAAGAACGAAGGTGACGATATGTACCTACAATGCACCTACACTTGCATCCGAGTCCTCCATGGAAGACTTGCTCATGGAAGCAACAAGGATAAGGTACGAGGTCATCGGCCTGGCCGAGACGAGCAGACGCCAGCCTTTTAACACCGTCTATGACACCGAAGAAGAACTGTTCCTTGGAACATGCGAGAGTAGAGGACTCGGCAGAGTCCGCGTTCTCGTCAACACGAGTTTGTCCATGAACATCGTTTCATTCGAACAACTTACAACCCGAATTGGATGCTTACGATTTGACAATTTTCGTCGTTTACGCGCCGGCATTAAACAATGACGAAGAAGAAGTCCGAGCGTTCTATATGGACTTGGAGAAGTTCTACAGAGAAGACCATACATTCTTCAAGGTCATCGTTGGAGATTTTAACGCCAAGATTAGACCAAGAACAACGTCTGAAGAACGTCACATCGAGACCCATGGATTAGAATGGAACGAACAGAGTGAGCGGCTGAGTTTATCATGACGACCAAGACCATCCATGGTAACCTTCAATTCCAAAAGGCCCACCTTCAACGCTGGACGTGGGAATCTCCCAGTGGAGAGTACCATAACGAAATAAACCGCATCATAGTAAACCGAAGGTTTTGCCTAACCGATGTCGCTGTTGTCCCAAAATTCTACACGGGATCAGACCACCGGCTTCGTGCAAGATTCCATTTCTCGCAGAAAGGAGAACGAGCCGCTGAATTCAAAAAACGAAGTCCCAAAACCACTATAAATTAGGACTTATTCAACTCATTAGTCGGCTGGTGAGAAGATGCCGTTGCCGATAACATCGACGAAGAATACGATCCGCTCATTAATCGTCTTCGCTTTTGCGGTACGAAAGCTGAGAGTTCGAAGGTCACCAAGAGACTTGTCTCCAGAAACACTCGAGCTGAAACGCCAGCGTGGAATCGCACGAGCTGCAGGCAACAGCCAACTAACGTCCGAACTTGCAAAACAGTGCAGACAGGCGATAAAAGAAGATCTTAAAGCGAGAAGAGCAGCAGTAATGATCGAAGCTGCAGAGGCTGGGAAAAGCATTCGCAAAGCCCACCGAAGCTTCGCCAATTACAAAACCAAGATGGTTGCACTACGATGCCCGGACGAAACGGTTATAGCGTCCAGAAAGGCAATAGAGAAAATCATTCACGATTACTATTTAGATCTCAATAGCCAACTCATTCTTCCCTCATGTGAAATAAAGGGTGACGGATATGTCGTACCACTGGTTCTCCCTTTCGAAATCCGACATGTCATTTCGTCGGTGAAAAATCGAACAGCACCAGGTCCGGATAGGATATGACCAGAGCACCTGAAGAATCTTCCGCCAGTGCTCGTAAACAGACTGGGTCGGCTCTTCACACGTCACCTGTCTGAATGCAAGGTCCATACTCAGTGAAAGATCAGCAGGACTGTGTTATTGTTCAAGATGGGTGACCTCCACGATATCGGCAACTATCGCCCAATCTGCTTACTGTCTGCCGTCTACAAGCTTTTCACTGCAGTCATCCTAAACAGGATTAACAGAACACTGGATGAAGAGCAACCATGTGAGGAAGGAGGGTTTCGGAAAGGATTTAGCACCATGGACTACATCCACGCGATAACAAGACTCATTGAAGTATCGCGAGAGTACAGAAGACCGCTCTGCCTCATTCTCATCGATTTAAAGAAGGCTTTTGACTCAGCTAGATAGAACCAGTCGTGGAACCCCGTTATAGTCATAGGGTTCCTACTCAGTACATAGAGATCCCTCGTGAGCTGTACAAAAATTTCACAACCAGAATGTCACCAACGTTATTAACATCGACGTCAAGACAGGGGTTATGCAAGGCGATACCATCTCGCCAAAATTATTTGCCGCCACCCTCTAGAACGTCATGCGAACATTGGAATGGGATAATACGGGAGTGAAAATCGAAAGGCCGGCAATTACACCATCTTCGCTTTGCTGATGACATCGTCCTTGCAACACCAAACATTAGGCAAGCGGAACGAATGCTTACCGACTTTGATAAAGCCTGTGGAAAGATTGGTCTTCGACTAAATCTCACAAAAAACGATGTTCATTAAGAACGGATTGGTTTCGTAGGCGCCATTCACGCTCAGCGGAACGAATATCTCCGAATGATCCAGTTACGTCTATCTGGGTCGGGAAATCAACATGATGAACGATTTGGCTCCAGAGTTGAGCAGAGGGAAATGAACGGCTTGAAGAGCTTTCAAGAGCATCGAGGATGTAGTGAAGAGAACAAAGAACACACAACTCCGTGCCCACATTTTCGACTCTAGGATTCTTCATTCCCTAACGTATAATCTGGTCGCTGCTTAAGCAGGATGAAAGATCACTCGGCGTTATTGAATGCACAGTCGAAAGGGCGATGCAAGGAGTATTTGGTGTCACACAAGTAGTCAACGATGAAAAGTCAAAGATGCCGTTCTGTACGCTAAACAGTCGAAAATAAGGTGGGCCGGACACCTAATGCGTATGAATGACAACTGATGGGCAAGAGCCATTAGTGACTGGATTCGTCAGGATGTCAAACACACTGCAGGAAGAGCACCGACTTGATGGTCACAGTTCTTGGCGGAAACCCTACAAGAAAGATATGATGCTCAACGAGTCCCTAGAGTGAGCAGAACCCACTGGGCTACTCTTGCATGCGACAGGGAAAAATGGAGGAATTATTGGCGCTCGCTCCAGAGTCACCCGACGATCAACAAGACTACAGTGACAAGGAACAATTTCCAAACTGTTGTGCGTAAAGGATCTGCCTCCGTGCGTGACTGAACCGCAGACCTTCTGTTTACGAGACAAGCGTTCTCTCAATGAGCTATAGAGGTCTGATGGACCAGTTCGCGAAAACTCGTTATTAAGAATGCTTGTTCTTCCACGTTGAAAAATACTTCCCAATTTAACACCTTTTTCTATTTCCAAAGCGTTGCCTTAAAACAGCTGCTTCCATGGAGGATTGTACCGCAGACCTTCTGTGAACGATACAGGCGGCCTGCCACTGAAGCATAGAGGTCTCAACGACGGATGCACCAAAATCCGTTAAGAATGTTTGTATATCCACGTTGACAGCTTTCAAAAATCTTGCCCAAATTAACTCCCTTTACTGTTTTCAAAGTGTTATGCCTAAAAGAACTGCCTCCATGCGGGATTGAACCGCAGACCTTCTGTTTACGAGACAGACGCTCTGCCACTGAGCTATAGAGGCCTCACGGACTGACCCGCCAAAATGCTAAAACTCGTCATCATGAGTACGTGCCCTCTCACATCGACGGCTTTTAAAGCTTTCTGTTTTTTAAAACAGCTTGCTTTACCGTTTCCAATGTACACCACCAACGTGCATTATTCCATGCAGGATTGAACCGCAGACCTTCTATTTACGAGACAGAAACTCTGCCATTGAGCTACAGACCCCCCATTTTGCAATACACCGAAATTAGTCGTGAAGAATACAAGGCCTCTCGCGGCGCCCGGATTTATAATTTTTGATGATAATTTTAATAGTTGATAATAATTACGGTTTTGTAACTTTTGCCAAAATAATTAGCTATAGCTTCCCGATAGCTTATTAGACAAACCGTAGGCAACCAACTGCTCATATCTCTACCTCTATAGTTCTGAAGTCAAGCTAAAAGGTATTAAACCCCGATGAGGCAAAATTAATAGCTCATACCCATAGCATGGTAGTAGCATTTATAACGCGTGCTAAACAGTTTTCCATCGTGAAATATGGCATTCCCTCGCGCAGGTGAAAACCCTTACAACAGCCAGTGCAGACGGAACTGGACCGTAACATCTGCGTACATCTGCATCCGCTGTTAACAAAATAAGGTTTCGTGAACTCTAACTGAACTATAGGGTTATAGACAACATCCATCAAACACGCCTCAGCCCGATTCCGACCCCGAGTACTCGCACGCGGCGCATGGGGTCTGTCGCCGCTGAGTTACCGTATCCGAACTACACAGCCCTGTTCGTGACTCGACCGACCGCCGCGTGGGTGCTGTCTAGTTCCGAGCTGTTCCCACGTATTGTCCGTCATTTCACGTCCGCGGTGACCATCATGATGTCATCTGCTTCTTTACGTTCTAGTCATTTTGTTTTCATAGATGGTCGTCATCGTAAATTGTCCCCTGATCACTGTTTCCTTTCTATCGGTTGTTCATTTCAACGAGCATTTCTGTTGGTTTGTGTTGAGAGAACACTGTCGTCGTGATGACTTGAGTTCATACAGGATGGGAGTCGAAACTCGACGTGCCGCTGCTGGAGGACGACATAAGAAGACCACTCCACCAGTTCTAAGTCACGAATTTGTCATCCAGAATCATGGCGACATCATGAGTTGCGTATTGATGGTGCTCATCGTCGGGTTGATGTTCCCTGTAAGTTGCTAAGAATAGAACTGTTCGTTGCCGAATTTATTAGGAATGCAGTTTGTTTTGCATCTAGAAGACGACTGAATTCTAAAGGTTCAAGGTAAATTCATTAAGCGCAGAATTAAAACAAATCTGAGTCGGTTCTTTACAGTATGGTGTCATTGATTTGGTAAAATCTAAAGGACAACGTTTTGATATGGAGTAAATCTAACTACATTTTATAGCTGACTGCGTCAATGTGCTCAATTTTCGTTGCACCGCAGTATAATGAGACAATGAACGTGACTTCAGAACAAGGTTTGTGCTCCTATCTTCAATCTGCTACGACTCCCATTGATGCCGTTGATCAAATATAAAAGTTATTCATCTATTAATAGAAGGAAAAAGCTATCGGTGTTGACCAATCCCTGTGGGTTGCGCTATATATTAGATTTCATTAAGCATTAGAGGTGATTGAATAGGTATCTGGCCTATACATTGGCAATGTATCGAATCAGTGCTGCTATACTCCCAGACAAGTTTGGTACCAATTTTGCCTTCCCGGAAGGATGGAGGGCTAACTGAGCCTTTGGCATGGAGATCGATCCCATGTGTATTGCTTGGCATCTCTAACCACTTCGCTATACAGGCTTGTATCATCTATAATTCCGCTAATAAGTGACATGGATGGGGCAAATTCTCCATGAAGCGGCCAACTTTTGTTACTGCGCCGTTTACTGCCACTTTTTTGGTGAAAGAGCACGCCCTGTTGGTATTTGGTCTCTCAAAGGGTGGTGGTTGGGTTGCTGTATCAGTGATGGTCGGAATTCAGAAGAAATGTGTGGTTCGCTTAAAGCAATCGAGAACCACCTATGTACTTTTTAATCATTTGATTTAAGCTTTTATCATGAATCAATGCGCAGGGCACAGTTCCTGTACACAAATTTCCGATTCTACCCCAATCGTAAGATACGTTCCCTTCGGTTAGTTGTTAACCTCATCTGGGGCACTTGTTACTGTTTGTGTCACTTCAAAACACAGAGTTGTAGTTTTACACAAAAATGTAGGTAAGTCAGGAATGGAGGCTTTTAGGTATACGTTCGTTGGGAATTGAGAACTATTCAGTGAATTTGTGAAAGCCAACTAATTGCTGGCTTTAATGGCGACTTTTCCTTACTGTCGAGATTTGTCTGAAAAAGGCTGAGTGTTATTTTAAGGTTTTATTAGCCTAACCTTATACCGGAACGGTCCTGCTGATGCCTTTCTTATACTGTTCTATACTGTGGCCTGGATTGTGGTGCATGCTGTTATTCAGGAGTATATCCTTGATAAAATGCAACGAAAGGTATGTCATCATATGTGATTGTAAAGTACATTTTCAAGGATGCCCACCTCCTTATTTCTCACCCATAACATCACTTGCATTAGCTCTCCAGCGGACGCCGTTATTTCCACAGAGTTTACCTAACTAGGAATATATTAAGTCCTTCGTAGACTGTTTATCGCTTTTCTGTTCTCTTCCGAAGTGTTTTTCCGATGATTCCTATATCAATGAATGGCCTGAAAGGGGGAGAGCTGTGTGGTGGGCTGTATGTTTCGTTAATTGATTTATGGTTCCTGACATTAAACAAAGCACAACTCTCAATCGTCGTCGTTGCATAGCTCATCGCAATGTTGCTTATGAAGCAGAAAACAATGTGAAGCCGTCAGGTTAACACTTACACGCTTCTATGGAGATATTGCATTCCCGATAGTATTGTAGAAGGGACTCGGAGCTTGTTCTACTTGTCAAAGGTGACAGTTGGTTGTGGTGATTATTCCGCTTTCCATCCGTGTGAGGACGGCTAGTTTTTCATCGTATTCTTCTGCGTTGCAAGTGTTCCACATCCTGACGCTGATCTATATGCGCCCGAGCAACTTAAACTACTTCGAAACTTACTTGATTGATAATGTTATGAGTTCATTTCAGGCACGTTTATCTAAGGTGAAGACGTTCAAATTTACTGAATCTGGCCACATGGCACTTTTCGCCTTGTATTCTGCATGCCATGCTGCATATGTGATAATGGACTTCGTGCATAATTATACAGACATAAAAAGGTATACGTATATATATGTCTGTATATGTGTATAATATATACATACGTATACATTTAAATCTTTTGTACATATGCTCAAGTATATACCTTCCAACGGTCTATTGCTCATCGTGACTGGGAGGCGTTCCTGGGTGTCGGACTGCGATGTACAGCGGTAGGATTCATCACTCCAGGAGTGCCTCCCAAACTGAGAAGTAGTTCGGCGTTTCTATGAGGAAGCCCAGCTAAGAGTAAACCAATACGAGGATCCACCACCGTCCTGGTCGAACTAGTCGCATAATAGCAACTCTCCCTCTGATCCACTTATGCGGCGACTGCCTATAGTGGTGACGACCTGGGGCGGACTTTGGCCTGTCTGATTTCGGGACTCCAAGGAAACACAGTTGCTAAATCAGCAGAACTCGGAAACAATGGAAACTGCGCTGAGGTCCGTATAAATATATATATATATATGTGCATATATATACATATATAATATGCATATATACATGTATATTTGGATGGGGCGTGTTCACTAAGATCATAAAGACCACAGTGCATTTTTCCATCTACTTGGTGAATTCCTTTTCACTTTAAAATTATCGGTTATTTTCAGAATATGGTTAGGATATCCTGAGGAACACCGGTGGATGAATCTCAACATGAAGATGTTTGCTATTCTTCAGGTATGTCATTCCTGTATGTTTGAAAATTTTTCGTTGTTGTTTTGTGTAGAGTGGATTAATTCATGTGCGTAGTTTTCTAGATTTCATACTGGATTCACCAATTTCCTGAATTTTATTTCCAAAAAATGAAAACCGATGAGATGCGACAGCGAACGATCCTATCAATGTTACATATCTGTTTCATCAGTGCAGCATACATTATGAAGTGGTTTAAGTTTCATACCGAAGCTCTCAGCTTCATCATCCTTTAACTTGTATTTATTCTCTTGCTGACTGTTATTTTCAGTTTCATGCGTTTTGCCGTAGTGCTACTAGCTCTGGAGTATCTCTCCCAAACTATTTTCCACTTCTCGCGTCTGCTTCACTTCCTTGAGAAGAAAGAAATAGCGAGAAATGGGTACGTTAAGCATCAGAGTTTTTTCAAAAAGAGTTCGTAATTTTAGCTAGTTTGCTCTTTATCTTGTGTGCAATTTATGTACCTACTTACTTGTACTTCGGCGGCCTATCTTCACTGGTTGTGTCGGCTCCAGCATAATCTCCGTTTTTCGGAGTTTTGCTGGTTTAACCGTTCTGTTTACCTGGAGTCCCGAGGTTTACCTGCTCAAATCTGCCCAAGGTCGACACCAACAGGCAGTCGCAGCCCTTTTGGATCAGAAACAGATTTGTCTCCATGCGACTAGTCAGGTAGTAGGACTGGGGATGGATCCTGGTATTGTTTTAGTTTTAGCTCGGCTTCCTGGTAAGGTTCTCCCAAGCTGAGAAAGAGTCCGGCGTTTCCATCAGGAAGCCTAGCTATGAGTAAACCAATACCAGGACCCATCACCATCCTGGTATCAAAGTCGCGTGGTAGCAAATCTCCCTCTGATCCCCAAGGGCTGCGACTGCCTGTGGTGGTGAAGACCTGGGGCAGACTTTAACCATGCTGACCTCGGGACTCCAGGGAACCGTAATGGCTTAACCAGCAAATCTCCGAAAAATGGTGATTATGCTGGAGTCCGCACAAGCAGTGATGACGGCCCGTTCAAGTATCAAGTAAGTATATGTATGCATATATGCATATATATACATGTAGTGTAGAAAGAGTCTTATTCACCGTTGCTTTAGAATAAGAGCTATGTATTTCGCTGATGCCGCTAAATGACTGGTTCAGAATCGCAGCTTTGAGAAGCTGTATTTCAACTAGGGCCACAACTTTGTTATTCGAAATAAGAGCAGTTAGATTTTACATTTTTTTGTTGTTACACATGTGAATATATATATTCTGCTGGCATGGAATTCTGGAGTTCGGGAAATCATGATTCATCCAGGGGTATTTCCATCAGCGGCTCGGTTATCCTAGATTTTCCCAGCTGTTAGGTTTCGCGTTGCTTGAGAAAGTCTAATAGGGAGATTTTGATGAGTATTTTGCGTAAAGAATAGTTTCGTAGTTCAACTTATTCTTTTTCTGTAACATTGCTTGTTCGATGTATGGCAAAGTGTTACTTTGAAAGATTTTTTTCTTGAGAAGTTATTGCTTATTCGCCGTAATTTCTGTAGAATCTCATTGGTTACGTAGAAGTACTTATCGGCTAAGGTAGTAAGTGTAAAACGCGCTAATTGCAAATGTCTTCCTGCCGAAATGAGGAACTGTACAAAACAGTATTTTCGTTGTCTTTGTTAAATCTTTATGAGCTACATCTGACTCTTACCATCCTACGGAATATGGTTTTTGTTGTATGGAATCGATTTTTCATCGTAACAAATAGTAAACAAGTGGTTCTTTCTATTGCTTAATAAAAGGAGTAGAAAGGACTTTATAGCGATGATCTCGTTGTCATTCGTCCACTTCTGTCTGCCGAGCTTGTTTATATTTTAGGTATTTTTCAAATAACAGGCTCTTGTTAAGACGTGAATAGCGAGTTAACCACACTTCGATTAGGACATCCCACAAGCTTACCTACCCAAAATCATCGTAAATTAGGTGTCAGGAAAAAATATTGCTTAGCCAGTGGTTAAAAAAATAAGCGGTATTCAGCAACAGTATCAGCAGTAAATATTTCAAAATGTACCTTATTTCGTTGATAAGCTAAAACGAGGTTGTTACCAATATTAACCGTGGTTGAATGGAAGTCGGTTTACAATGGTATCACGAAGTGTGTTTCTAAAATTTTTCATGGCGAAATCTGCCATCATTTTTGCACCATCTTGATATCGAAGCATGTTGTTTGTTTGTCATGGCATTTGTGCTTGTTCTTCTTCGCTTTTCATAGCAATTCTGACTTTTTTCTATTATCACTATTTAATATGGCTAATAAGGGCGATATGTAAATACTACGCAGGCAAGCATTGAGATTTAGTATTAGAGTTATTCCAGGACTCCGTTCTGATGTGTTTTTATAGATTCAATGTATGGAACCTCGTATTTCTAATTGTGCGCCTTGCTTCATCGGTGTTGACAGTGATGACTTTCTGGTATGGTCTTCGTCAATCTGAATCACCATATATAGATGTAGCAACTGGGAACTACAATACGACGTACGTTCGGTGAGTGATCAGTGAGATGGTAAATTTTTTCTGTTGTAGGACGTATTATGAAGGGCCAATTTTGAAATTATGAAAGGTGATACTATGTGCACTATATCCTGTTATTCGATTATTTCAGTTTAAATTGTTTGCTTGTTGTTCTTTCGCTGCAGTTATTTCAACTGTGGAACTTTACGAGTTTTCATGTAGGGCGATTCAAGTAAGTTCTTCCTCATGTCAGGACTTTTTAAATTCGCGGTTACCTTAGTTTTCTCTTCAATTTTGAAAAATGGTGAAACGTTGATTTCTTGTCGCTCAGTTATTGTACAGATGCGTTGCACAAGTAATGCAAATATTGAAGCGCTGTGTAAAGTGAATGCCTTTATTCCAAATTCTATTCAGGTTGCTATGTCTTCAATAGCTTATCAAAAAATCCTTTAGCAACATTCTTTTAGTATTGCTTATTTTTGGTGATTTTTGTTCCCAGATTTTAAAAAAGACTGTTTTCGTTTTCAATTAACCTTATTCCCTAAGGCACATGTAGCGCAGTGGTCCGAGGTGCCCTGCAGTACACTTGGATGCCCCATCCCCGGGCCCACCAAGTCTTCTATCCCTCCAGGGTCGGCGAATTAGTACTAAACTTGTCTGGGAGAATAGCAGCACTGGCTAGACACATCGGTAGGGCACCGCGAGTCATTGTAAAGGCCAGTTATGCATTCAGTAACCAACAATGCTTACCAAAGTCGGATGCATGGCACATCCCTGAGGGATTGATCAACGTCGAGAGCTTTATCTTTTTTATTTCCATTTGCTTGGTATGCGACCATATGAATTGAGAAGTGCACTATTCTCAATGTAACTTCATGAATATTAAGGGTTTTTTCTCTTCAGAGAAATTGCAAGCCGGAAAACGAAATCCGACGCTAGGCGGCTATTTCCTCAGCAGAAAATTAAGAAGACCAAAGCAGAAGACTCTGTATCTGTAAGTGAAAAACAACAGTTCTACTTTGCGTTTCTTTTATCCTCGATCTGAAGAACATTTTGTATCTAGGAGCCAGAACCCCTTGATGACTCAGACAGCACTAGCAAAAAGGGTAAGAAGAAAATCAGCTAATCTCAGAAACTCTTATTTGCTATCGTGTCCCACATTTGAATATTACTGCACAAGCAGAGAGTCAGTTTCTTTTCGACAACGCTTAAATAACGTTGTAGTCTGAACTATAAGAGAGTAATCTTCCTACCTATGGTATGTATTCGTTACATTTTTAGCTCTCAAATTAACATGAGTTACATGCTGCGCAAAATGATGTTTCATGGATTTTTATATCAGCCGTAAGATGAAAATTGTGTAATTTTATTTAATGACGTGTTTATTTATTCTTTTAATCAGTTTTAGGTTTACGTACCGTTTTTATTCTAGGCTTTAACTTCTTTTTAGCAATTTCATTCTCCATCATCAGCATTCATTTCTCTTTCGTCACGGGAGTTCTAGATGTCATGCTACATCCCATTCGTTTCGAATGAAATTCTTATACTTCATGTGTGATTGTAACTTATTGACTATTGAGTTGTCACGTGATCGTACTATTTATTTTGAAACTAAATTTGTTATGGTTTTCGTCCATATACCCGACGGTGTAGTTCCTGATACACAAGTGGTTAAACGTTTCAGTAACTCGTATGTAACACCTCATTATTGTTTTATTTAAACCTATTATCCGTAAACCTTGCGGTTTCTTTAAGTTACCACGGTGTAACGTCTATTGTGAGATTTACTAAGTTGACTTATTTGTCATCTGAAGCACCTACAATTAGATCGGTTGAGCAGTGGTTTGCAGCGACGAATTTACCGCAGACGACAGGTATATTGTGGTCGAAAGTGGGACCACTAGCACAGTTGCATTCCATGGTACTACTTAACTATACTATTACCATGTACATTGAACGTTCCTGGGATTTTTCCGAGTTTCGCTGTTGAGTGTCGCCTGCATGTGCTTGCGGAACATCAGAGGGTATAGTTAGGTTACACTTATCACAGTAAAGTTGGTGGTTGGATTGTGCTAGAACAGTCGTGTTGTCCTCTTCATAAGTTCAAGTTCAGCAGTAATTGAACAACACTCCTGTTCGTAAGGATAGTGTAACCCATTGTTATGGTATCCTGTGCATTGGTTTGGTCTACTAAACGTCTGTTCATTCTTGAGTGAGTTTTGCCTTCCAAGCAAATTTGTAATGTCGTTCCTTTATCACGTTGCATCGCAAAACCGCTTGCTTGTTTAAAAATAATGAATGCCAACGTGTAAAGGAATGTCTGGGGTGTTCAGTGGTTGGAGCTGTAGCCATTGACCAAAGCATTCTCTTGTTGGCTTTGGTAATTGATATTGGTTTTTTAAACTTCTACTCTAAGAGTACATATGCTAGCTACCAGTACGCTCTAAATAAAGTAAGTGGAATAAGTTGCGGAAGAGATAAGCAATTACGATGTACATCTTCGATGACGTTCATTTATTCCATCACAGTATAATTTCAGAGTTCTCAAGGTGCACCGGTTTTGATTGGTGATAGCTCACCGAGTAGTTTGAGGGAACAGTTGGTTGTCGAAGAATTCGGGAAGCGCTAATGTTGATTGTGCAAGTTGGTCTGGGGTTCTGCATTAAAGGATAATAGTATAGAGCTCCCAGCGTTGATCAATCCCTAAGGGATTCGCCTTGCATTTGACTTCATCAAGCACCGCTGAAAGTGACTGAATGCATATCTGGCCTTTTTAATGACTCACGATGGCCTACCGATGTATCGGGCTAGTGCTGCTATCCTCGTAGACAAGAATGGTATTGTCGACCCCGGGGAGATGGAACGTTTGGCGGGCCATGGGCGCTGGGGTCGATTCCACGTATGTGTCGCAGTGGCGCCTCCAACCAGCGCCTACTACGCCTTCCGAAAATATTTAGGAGTGGATGTTTCTGAAGAACTATCTGTTTCTTCACATCATGTTGCGAGCTATGCGCTTATTGCATGGGATGTTCACACATAGTGGTTGAAGGGGATGATTTGAATGCATACGTGGCAGTCGAGGACTGCTTCGGTAGGAAGAGTACGAAGATGTGTTCAGTTTACTGGGAAATGAACCTCTACACTACTCTCTATAGATAACAGCAGTGGACAATCCATGAACTTAACAAAAAACTCTAAGTTGGACAGGAGCCGTATACCTAAACTGTACTCAAAAAATGATGTGAATAAACCATGATAAAGCAAAGATATGCGTATCACTTCATAGTTCTTCTGGCATACGGACAGTAAGACGTCAATTAGTAGTTCAAGTCCACAACAAGTTCTGCATTATTCTCTGTCTCTTCGGCTTCTTCGTAATCATGAGGAGAAGTCCATCCAAGACGGAGTTGACCTTATCACCCGCTGACACCACCGGTTCGCCACTATAAAATTCAAAAACGAGGTTGAGGTAAAATACGACACCACAAACATCAGTGTGGTAACGTCTGGGATAAATAAAAAGCAGAAAGACGGAAAATGTTTGTGGGGAATGCAAAAAACGACAGTGAATGCATAGGAAAGAAATTGGATTTCTTACGACGAAGTGGATATAGTACAATATGTGATAAGCGATACAGCAATAGAATAAAGCCTCCCGAAAAAGCCTCTGATGTTTCCAACTCGCTGGATTCTCTCATTGTCCGGGAATCGAGGCCCCTACTGGTTCGAGATGTCCGCGACCATCGCACGTTGTTCCCGCAGGAGGCCGCCCAGGACCACTCTCTGGACGATATGAGTCAAGTGCTTGTCCGTTTGTATTGTCGGACGATTGACTCGTACTGATTTGTGAGGCAGTTTTACAGTGCAAAAATGACAATGATCTCTCGGCTATTCGCAAGACTTCCCAGGCGATTTGTCTTTCTCTTACGTGGTGGTTTGGGTGTTACGCATACAGGAACGACATGGGATTAGTGTGCGAAGGCATTAAATTTACGTTTTGAAGAGATTGGGGCATGTAGCTCGATGACGATAAATCGGTGCCGTGTCCTTAATTGCACACACCAACACAAAAACGAAAGTTGATATAGCTGTGAAGTGATCAGTTCTATGTTTGAGTGCCAGGCCTTTTCGCAGAATATCGCGAATTTTCAGAGTCGGATTGTACCAGCTGGAGGTGGTGCCTTCATGACTTCATCTTGGAGTCGTCGCGTTCATCTCTCCGTCTGTACCGTCAATAATTGGGCTCTGGACTTTGAAAGGAATCTACAGCGAATTTTGACTAATTAGTGAACGGTTTGCTGTTTCTCTTTTCTATATTAAGCTCTTAGTTGTAATATGAAACATTTCTGTTGAACGGTGGTTTGGAAAGTGGAAATCTTATCTGGTCGTTTTAAAACAACTTGCGAAGATGCGAACCGAAGTGGCGCCAGGTTGCGGTTGGGTCGTGAGCTTGAAATTCCTGGTTATGGATGTGCTGATCATTTCTTCGAATTAGACACAGCGATTCATTCGTGGGAGATATTGAAGGAGATTGTGAGAAATTCTAAGAAGGTGCGTTATTCTGGCAGTTAGTTTAGTGAGGTGCAGGATAACAGATGTATACTCTGGATGATTTGTTCCAGTGGCCGGAGTTGTCGATAGTAACTGGGATGCTCGTTCGTCAAGGAATGCTGTTCTACAATTGCCTTGTGGCTATTTTGAATGGGTACGTGATAGTTACAATCCTTTTTACCACTTTCTTGTCTCTCGTTACGCTTGGCTGATTTTTCGCAGCGGCGGTGTAATTTCACGTTTCCCAGGAACGAGTGGTATCGAGTTGGGAGCTTCTCGTGATAACGTTGTCACTGTCGAGTGGGAGGAAATTGGAAAGAACATTCATGAAAAACAATAACAAGCCTCAAGAGACTTTAACTGCAACATAATATCACGCATATTGTTATCGACGATGGACTACCACTCGCGGCGGCGCGTGATCTAACAGGTACAATTCCTTTTGCCATGGTTTGTCATGGTATTTTCTCGAGAGTATTACAAAGGAGTTAATAAGTAACCATCGTACTCGATTACTAGAAAGTAGCCAATGTGCGGATTGATTCCGATTAGCAGAAGTTATCCAATTTTTACAACAAAATGCGATTTGCAATTTTCGTAGTGGAATGATTTCAAGGTTAAAAAGCGCGATCTCAAGAGGGCTTAGAAATTTTTACGATTTCTCGTTTACTCCCTCTTCGGGCTTCATTACCTCACCATTTAATTTAAGATGAACGGAAACGAATGCACATGAAAAATATCACTTCTCGTCCATAATTTCCCCATGTGGTTTCTGACAGTTCTTCAAAATGTCAACATTTCCAGTAGGAGCCCATTCAAATTATTCTTTCTCCTCGAGACCAAGTCGAAGTCACTGCGCTTTTATCTTCGCTACTGAATTTTGAATAACAGCCGTTGTATGTTCTGACGAACGAACATATGTATGGGCTGGCTATTCGAACACTTGTTTGGTTTCAGCCGCGACCGAGTTCGAACCCATGAAGTGAACGCACTCAAAATCGGTTTTACTACCACCCTAAAAACTTTTTTTGTCATATTTGAGCATTAACAGCAGTTAAAACACATGTTTTCAATTATCACACGCTGATTCAAGCTTTCCAACAAAGGCTGTATTTTTTCCGTTGTGCACAAAAGCTGGTTAGCGATTTCCACAGTCACGGTGAAGGTGGCAGGATCGATGTTCAAAATAGAATCCGAATACACCCAAACACACCTTACTTGTCCATGAATGTGGTTATATATATATATATATATGTATATATATATATACTTGGATACCTGGATGGCCTCTCCTCACTGGTTGTGCAGGTCCCAGCATATTGTCCATTTTTTTTAGAGTTTTACTGGTTCAGCCATTGTGGTTCTCTGGAATCCCAAGGTCAGCATGGCCAAAATCTGCCCCAGGTCGTCACCACCGCAGGCAGTCGCCGGCCTTGTGGATCAGAGAGAAATTTGCCACCATGCGAATAGTTTAGTACCAGGACGGTGGCAGATCTTGGTTTTGGTTTACCCTTGGCTGGGCTTCCGGATGGAAATGTCGGACTCCTTTCCAGCTTGGGAGATCCTGCTGGGTGGATGAATATGTCCCTCCTCTGTACATCGCGCACCTAGGAACACTTTCCAGCTACGATGAGGCGGTAAAACTTCGGGAAGATTATATATACAAGGAATGGATAAGTCATTGCAGCGCACTGGAGACTTTGGAGATTGCAGCGCAAGCTCATATCCTCACTATACGTTTATGTTAGGGCAAGTTCATAGGTGCTTTTAGTCTGCCGCCTGGCGATACTCTACATCCCATCCTTCCAAATGACCTTATCGAATATAAGGTAGATTCATTAAGAACGGTAGTTTTGGGAAAATCTGCTTCATTCATCATTGGTGGCTAAATCCTCCGTTAAATGTTGTGCGGCTGTAAATACTTCATTGTTCAATCTCCCGCTAAGCTGTGTAGGTTTTAGTTTAGCATGCAGTGGTCAATTCCAAATATTCCAGAAAAATTCTCATTCGCCCAAAAATGGATCTTTGTGATGGCGATGTCTATCGTGAGAGTAGATGGTTTGTTCGGTGGTAGAAGACACTATCTACGATCTCATTTGACCTCGGCGGTGCCTACGGCTTCGATCAGGTTTCTGCTTTAAACACCTCATTTATCAAGTTCCGCTGCGATCTCTATTCCGGTGGTTAGCTCTCTAGTTAAAGGAAACGGTTCCATTCAGAGATAGGGTTCTGAAGTCATCAGATAATGTCGCAGTCGGTCTCGAGATTTGGGAAGAGTTGTGGTCAGGATATACGTATGTACCTTCAGTTATCGTTAGTCTTTTGTCTCGTATAAATAAAAAAGAAGTACCAGTTGTATCGCAGACTATATTGAACTAGGAGCACGTGGAGTTGATATCATTTGCAATGGGAATGGAAGTTATCACATTTTGGAGAAGTCAAGTCGTCGAATCAATCAACTGATTATTGGGGGAAGCTAGAATGTTCAGATTTCATAACTGGTCGTACTTCTACTCCGTAGTTGAGTTTTCATCTTGGGCTGGTGGTATATACTTCTACAGCAATCACCGCGGTTGTGACAGTAACCGAGTTTACTACGATGGAATGTCAACGATTGCGCGAAACGGCAAACTCTATGCTCAGATACCCCATTTTAACATAGAAGACACCGTATGCCCACCTGGTTTTAGATTTATTATGTATTCGTATGATCGTTATTAAGAAGGTAAGTTTAAGTGTACAGCGACAGCAGTTCTCGACCTGAATGAAACAATCACATACCGTCACCGTAAAATCAGTAATTGTTATCAGGTGTATACATGTATAAGTGTGTATATGCGGTGTATCTGTATGTGGACATGGTGCGTGTACCGCAGTTCCCGGAGGCGCCCTGCAATGCACACGAGAGCGTTCCCCGTGCACAAGTTCACCGAGCCCTCCATCACTACGGGTTCGGCTAATTTGTGCGACACTTGTCTAGGAGGATAGCAGCACTGGCTCGATGCATCGGTAGACCACCTTGTGCCATTGTAAAAGCCAAATATGCATTCAATCACCTCCAACTATGCTTAATGAAGTCGAATACATGGCGCATCCCTTAGGGATTGATCAGCGCCGAGAGCTTTATTCTTTATATACATACATATATATATATATATATATGTGCATATGCGTATCTATATGTGTAGGCCTTTGTGTGTGCGCGTTTGTGTGAATCAACGTATGAGTATTTCGAAACCGACTTTCCTTGAACCTCGGTATCACTAATCAATATGTATTCTTTCTTTGATGAGCTTACACGAGGTTGATAACGTATGAGTATGAGTATGTACGTTGCAAATGTGCTTGTAGGTGTTGGGCCACTTATCACATATTTAGTCAGCTCTACTTCCTGAATATACCACAATTCTTTTTGATGGCAAGCTGACTGTGGATGACTGACTACGTGTGCCTAACTGAGGAGATAACGGATTGAGAAACGGCAATTAAGTCCCATCAAGGAACTATGCCGTGGACCACCGGCCCGGCTCTGGTATTATCTTAGAAGAAGTAAAATGGTGAGACAATCCCTGCTGTATTTCAAATTCCTTGTGTTTACGAAATTACTGAATTCAGAGTGGATATTTCGTGCCACTTTCGGGTGGTCAAGACAGCTCTTCCGTGGCTGCGATGGTCCGTTTGATGTGTAATAACGGATGGTATGCTTATTATTAGGATGCATATCAGTAATATTATTAAATTAGAGCGCATGTAGCGCAGTGGTCGGAAACGCCCTGCAATACACATAAGGTCGGTCACTGCGTCCGGGTTGACCAAACCTTCCATCCCTCCGGGGTCTGCAAATTGGTACCAGACTTGTCTGGGAGGATAGCATCATTAGCCCTATACATCGGTAGGCCACCTCGAGTCATTGTAAAGGCCAGATATGCATTAAATCACCTCCAACGATGCTTAGTGAAGTCGAATGCGTGGCGCATCCCTCAAGGATTGATCAACACCGAGAGCTTTATCGTTTTTTATTTTATAGTAGTGATTGAATGGTTGTAGAAAAGATGTCCGGGACTACATCATTCGAAAGCATGTTTCTTTTCGCACCCAAGGTAATATTGCGTAATTACAAAAGCACAATTACTATTCTTGTTCCTTTTTTCCAACCAGGACTTTTCTTGGTGATATTTTCACATCACTCCAGCTTATCTTCTCGAATGGGTACAATTTTACACTTACAATTCTTTTTACTACCTTGTTATGCTGAGAAAGTGAAGTATTTAATGAGTAGAATTAGGTAGCAATTCAAGAAAACAGAAGTGGATCAACACTTCCTTGTATGTAGCTATCTATGGGTCTTTGGACTTCACTGAATTTCTCTTTTCTTGCGCAGCTTCAGTACTCTATTGGTTCTCCTTTCCAAGTAGTTTTCATAGATTACTAGCACTTTCATCAACCAAGTTAACGATTGATAACATTGTGACCCATATATGGTCGGTCATCCGTTTTTGTTGCAAACACGTCTTGATTCGTTATGAGCTTTACTAATTAGAATTAAATCACTGCGACCTTCACATATTTACTAAAATGTAAGAATTTTGAGATTTGCCAGTGAGTTTGTTAGGTCCGGAAGTAATCTGGTTATTGAAAGGTTTCCGTGGTTGACAGTAGATTGAGAATAACTTGTCCCTAGGGGCATTAAAGGCAACTTAGCTTTTTCTAATTTCTGCGCTGAAAATCGTAGTAAAAAGGGATTTGGGTGGAGATGATCCTGCTTACTACATTAATGGCTAGCGTGTTGGTGAGGATCCAGCTGTTTTATGCAAGAAGGTAATTGCCGTCCATTTTATATTCTATAAAGTGTTGTAGTTTTCATGAATTCTTTAGGTGTTACCTTCTTCCATTATTAAGAAAGCAGGAGGTTGATAAGAAAAGGCAGATGAGAAGAATATCTTTAGATATTGTTTACCTGTCACTTGGCTAGCGAGCATTCGTCGACTAGAGCGCGACTTTGTGTAGATAGTTTGGCGAAAGACATTAACAGCAATCACTTCAGGTCTGCTTGCATTCAACTTCGCTTTGTCGGCTTAACACCATTATTCTATTTTGCACTTAAAAAAGGGTAAAGCTCTGTCGTTGAACAATCCCTAAGGATACGCCATGCATTCGACTTTATTAAGGTAATTGAATTTGTTTGGAGGGGGTTGAATGCATATCTGGCCTTTACAATGACTCGCAGTGGCCTACCAATGTATTGAGCCAGTGCTGCTATCCTCTCAGATAAGTCTGGTGCCGATCCCGGAGGAATGGAAGGCTCATAGGCGCGGGAATAGATCTCATGTGTATTACAGAGTGACTCCGATCACCGCACCACACGCTTTCTTAACTTTACGCTTTAGACTAAAATTCTTGCAAAATGGTGGCTAGGATAGGGTCATTCTTCCTTAGAGGTTGATAAATTGGCACCAGAATTATCTGGAATGATAAAATAGCGACTTGATGCATCAAAATGCCTCCACTAGTGTCATCGATTCCATGCCAACTGCAGGACTTAAACCTCTTGTGAACGGAGATGTTTCGCAAACTGACGAGGTTCGTTTCTACCAAGTCTTGCAGTGGGAACACATAAAAGTTATTAGTATGTGTTCTGTAAGATGTGAAACTAGTTAGATGGCGGGTCCGAAAAGTCGTGCATTTCTGAAATTATGAGCCAGTACTTTTAGGAAGAGATAGGGCTCACTTATGCTAAGTTGTCCGTTATCGGGAAACTCCGGCGACCAAGTGGTCTGGGACGTTATGGGGTGTTTCTGGCCTTTTGCTCTAGTTGATATCCGAAATACTCATATGAACAGGCCCACTCAGAATTACTTGCGCTAGAATTACTTGGTCTTCATGCGTGGTAAGCCCTCAGTAAGCTGGACACTCGTTTACAAAGAGGACATACAGAGATCCTACTGGTACACACGCTTCTTTCTTTCAAAAATTTCACCATTTATCGAAAATAGCAGTGGTGAATATGCTAGACTGAGCATACTGTTTATAAATAACTATTTACTAGTCATTTTTAGCTTATCATGCTACCGAATACAGTGCTGACGACCACAGAAGTAATCATCGGCCATTTCTGTAAGCGGATATGAAGCGTCAATTCGAACAAATTCGCCTAAAGGTGCATTAGTGTTCTTTAATTTAGTGCTATGAAAGTAGAATTCCTAAATAGTTGTGCCGCCTGTCTTACCGTCGAGCGCGGGTTCAAATGAAGTTGTCATTCTCCTCTCACTTGTCACTTGCCCAGTGGATTCTGTTCGTTGAAGAGACACAAAAATTACGGCATTTTTTCGAAATCTCCGTAAAAAATGTGAGCAGGAATGATGACTTTACTGTTGTGCGTATCACATCATCTCCATCACGTCTACGGCTCACCTGTTTTTCGGTCGTTGACGTAGGTCAAATTTTTGTATTCCCTCTTTCTTTACAAAATATAGTATGTTCATAGCATTTCCGCCTCGATAGCTTGTTCGATAACAATGACCACTGTTTCGCACTGGTTATGTATATTTCAAATTTCCGAGGTACACATTAGAGCATTAGGAATCTCATGGTCAAAAAAAAAATATAGTGGACGGATAGCGGAGTGGTAGTGATGTCTGTCATCATGAGCATGATACTAGTTCGATTCCGATCCGGGCCAACCAAGCCACACATCTCTCTAGAGTCGGGAAATTAGAACAAGCCTTCTCTGGGAAAAAATCACTGCCTGCAATCCAATTGGGAACGCTCCAGCCAGGCTATCTGAGGACTTCAGGGAGAATTGCTTGACGAGCATTCTACGACATTCAGGATGAAATGAAAATCGTCAAACAGCAACCGTAGCCACATATAAAAACTTGGAAGACCTTTGTGGACGATGGATGCGAGGGAACGAATTGGATGTGAGACGTGCTGGGGGATCCGCACAGCAGACGTGAAGACGGATCAAATAATTTAAATTAAATTAATAAAAGTGGTCAAAAACATGGACCTGGAATGGAAAATATGTTCTTCTTTCATATCACCGTAGGGTGCTCTTGTAAAGACTTTTCACTAATCGTTGTCATCTCATCTATAATGTTGTATTTTCGACAGAGATATATGTAGTTGTGGAATTTGTTACGTTCAGCGCAAGTTCCACATCAGGAGCGAATTCGTTCTTTATGGACATCTTTCTCTTCATGTTCGACAGAGAGCCAGTTTTTACATTTGCAAAATCAGATAGTATGTGTTTCTTCTGGCTAACACGTAATTCTTTAGTGACATTAGGGAGGCAAAATTGGTGGAACTGCTGGTCATCGACTTGCATCGCATCTAATTCCATGGTAGTTTTGGAGCAAAGTTTTCTGGTATCGCCATTGGTTTGTTGAAGTCCCGTCTTTACACCAATGGTGATGTTATAGAATTATAAAATTCTGGTTACGAAATTGCTGTATAGCTAGTGAAGAACGTTTGTATTCTATGCTAGTGCCCCATCTATCAAGGCTTTCATGACCGCTTCCGAGTTAGCAAAATCGGCCTGTTTCAAGTTGGTAGAAGTGCGAATAAGTGGTTATCCTTTAGTAGGTTTCGCTGTTTTGTGAATGCTTTCTCAGATCGACATCCTCCGTCCGTACTTTCTGAATATTGTCGAAGATCACACAAGGATGGCTAGAGATGAAAGACACCTGACAGATTGGGGTTATTAATCGACGTTTTGGTAAAAATAGTTGGGATGGTAATTTTATCGACTTTTTAAATAGCTTAACGAGAATGACCTAATCAGAGTTGTCGTTATAATGACTTATGGAACCAGAGGTACAAATTCTCGTTAAGTGCTAAGTGTGTTCCGTTTAAAAAAAAACTACAATTCTAGGTTATCGAATTGAACACCAACGCACGAAAAGAACCAGCGCCGTCTGTAAACATCATGGGCCTGAATTCCTAGCGATGGAGATTGATTTGAACCTTACCAAAAATAAATATTTCCCCTATTATTTGGTGGTATTTTTATAGTTCGTCTTCTAATTACTGAACATTTGTGTTTCGTTAGTTTTCGATAGTTGATATAAGGGTCTGAGTTCAGTTATGGCAACAACTAGTGAGGGACCAAGTCAATTGTTTCATGGATTGGTGCAAGTCACCTTATTACAACCGAATAGAAATGGACCTGAGTATATGTAGGTGCCGCAATATTCCTAGAATTCGTTGGTATTGGTGGCTACCATCCCAACATATACTAACAAAGTAGGTTTGACTTTTTGTATTCCAACTCTTTAAAACGTTTTTTTGTAGATCCTCGGTAATCGAAGTTGTTCTAAAGATTGTTGAGAGAAGACTTGACAATGGGGAAAGGGTGGGTGGTACTGAAAATCTTTCGCCAGCAGTTTTGTCTGCTTATCATTCCTGTACTATGGCTCCATTAATTCCACTGATGGTATGGTAATTTTATTCAGGAATATCGTGTGGAAATCAGTCGACCTGACGAATTTGAATTTCTCTATGGAGAGGGAATTACGAGGACGAAATATCAGGTCCTTCTAGATCTATTCAATCAAACTTTAGAATGTGGTAACAAGAGGTGTAGTATGCTGCCTATTGTGGTCAAAGGTTGCATTTGCTCAGCCATACCGTTGTTTATCCTTCTGTTCCACAGAATCTTGCCAAAACGTGGAATCTGAATGTTGATTTTGATGACTTTCCTGCGAGGATTGTTCGTTTACTCCGGGAGCGATCTGGAGCTTCTGCTCCTGTGCAGCTGACGTGCACATTAAGCCAGGACTTGTCTGTATGCACGTGAGTTGTGCTGTTCGGTCGGTTTGGTACTACCATACCAATAGTGTCCTGCATATCTCAATTGAAAAACTCTGTTTTCATGCATCGACTTGAATAGATATCGACCAATAATGCTTAGAGATTTCTTGTTTTAGATTCGAAATGGTCCATATAATTGATATGTATACTGTTCGCATGCCAATAGACTTAAAAGCAGTTCGAGATAAGGAGTTGCTATGCCATGTAATAAACAACATGCGCTCTCTACAGGTACTGTAATATATAAAGCTAAGTCCCAAAGTTCATTTAAGTTAACCTAATGCTGATTTTGTTCTTCTTTTCGAGAAGCAAATGGAGATGGTAAGTAAGCAGAAAAAGCACGTCGAAAGGGAATGTGAGGAGCTAAAACAAATCGTAGACGAGTTGCGAGAATTTCGTGTTAAATCTGAGGAAAAAACTGCGGAACTCGAACATAAGGTGCTGGATGCCGAGAGACGAATTGCCGAGGAGACACTGCGTAGAGAAGAGTTTGAACAGGACCTTCAGGTTCAGATATTTTGTTCGATTGTGAATTCGTGACTGGTGAAATGCAAAGTACGCGTTCTAGTTGGAACGTGACGAACGCGACTCAGCTTTGAATACTATTGAACATCTTAAGAGTGATCTATCTGAGGCAGAAAAAAAGGCTCGTGAACTTGAAGAGGAGTTGAGTCAATGCGAAGAGGAGTGTGAAGATCTAGTAGAGAAGGTTTGTTTGTTAACCCTTGCTTCTACATGATTTCGAGTCCATAAACATGTGGTATTTCATAGGTGAATAACTGAATGAGTGAATCGTAGTCTTCGAAGTAAAATATGTGCTATTTGCGCAATATGCTGTTCATCGAATTCTAGTGTTCGTGACCAAATAACAAGAGTTGTTAGCAGGCTGAATGTGAGAATGTTTCAGCTACGCGACTCGGAATGCTCATCTTATCGTTTGCAGAATGATAAGGAAAGTTTGACTGCCGCTCTTGACAAAGCAAAAAAGGACTTAGGGAAGGCGAACCACGTTATTTTCAAATATTTAAAGGTTCATAAGAGTTATTTCACATTCTAGGAAATGTCCTGTCCACACATGTGTCATCCAGAAGATAATATTTTGATTTTGAGAAGATAAGATTTGAGGGTGAATTCCGTAGTCAAAGTCAAAGAAGCTTGGACGAAAGCAAAAACGAAATGGCTGCGGACTTGAAAATGAAGGAGTCCCTTATTGAGGATATGACAGGTCAGTACCATTTCTGTGATCCAAAATTAAATACTTGAATGATGTATTATAGCATCGATTGCGGATTACAAAAAGAAGGTCGATGACTTGACCACGAAAAATCGAGAACTGCAAGACACATTGCAAGTGATGGAAGCTGAACGTGCGCGAAATGCTCGTGGTTTGTCTATGTGTTTGCTTATGTGCGATTAACGCGTGGATATTTCATTATTACAGTGATTGAGATGTATCGAAACCAGCACCGCTCGGCTGTCTCTTCAATGGGCACATCATCGATTTATCCTACGTTTCCATCTCCTTTAGTGAATGGCCAAAATAGTCCTCTACTCGCATGTGTACCAGCAACACCAAGCAACTTTAGAAACGTGTTGGGACGAACGCTTGTGAGATTACACTTCTCTTCATACATTGAAAACATGCTTGACTTGAGATCTTGTATTCTCTACAAGACATTAAGTTCTATGCACACTAAAGTATGTATTTGAGCAATCGAGTACGGCACTGGCTACACCTTCCATGCGCACAACACCTCCATTGTTGGACAGGAGATACTTGAACGCAACCGACGGAGAAAAGTAGGGGAAGAATATTTCGATGATTCCTCATCAGATTCTCTTCTTTTAGTGTTCCTCCGATTCCTGGTACTGACACGCTAAAGTCGCAAACCACGGCAACGAAATGATAGCTATACTTCAGTATTGTGTCTATAACGTCTTCTACTGTGAGCTTACTCGCGGACTTTCTTTATTTCGATCCTTAACTTTTATTTAATTCCCTCAGAGATTTGTACAGACTTCGTTGGTATTTGTATAGATTTTTAGGCTTACTATAGGCTTGTGAACGTGAAAAATCACATAACATCCTATAAAACCTGTACAATCATGTATCACAATTTGATATGCTACTAAGCTAAGATGTGATGGTTACTTTCTAAATATTTGCTCTACTTCTTTAGCCAAATTGAGCAGCGAGCTATCTTGTAGATTGCATAACATAACTACACATACTCCGGATGGAGCATTGCGTTCGTGGGCTTGCGTGTTCCTTGGATGGATGAGCAGAACCGAAGATGCGCCCACAGCTCCGCCTGTGTGGTACCAGAGACCACATCTGTAACGAAGAACGCCAATAATTCCACTTGACACCTTTTTTACGATTAATTACAGGGTACAGTTTATGACGTACCCTTTTCTGTGTATTCCATCAAAATCACTGTAATCTGTGCACATCCATCCCAGGCCAGCCAGCGTCTTGCTATTCACAGAAATTTCTCCTTTCCATAGCTGTTTCACGATTTCTTTCTTTAAGAATGCATTCTTAAACGAGGTAGTGTCCGTTTGATAGCTGTAACATAAAGTTGCTGAGTATATTGTATATATGTGAAGAAACCCGCTTGTCCCTATATTTTATATATCTTAGCTCACGTTGTTGCTACAGTCATGTCTTGTCGATAATTATGGATGTTACTTGGTTACTTAGATGGCCTATCCTCACTAGTTGTGCGGGCCCCAGCATAGTCTCCATTTTTAAGGAGTTTTGCTGCCTTAGCCGTTGTGGTTCCCTGAAGTCCCGAGGTGAGCCAAGCCAAAGTCTAACCCAGATTGTCACCACTACAGGTAGTCGCAGCCCTTGTGGATCGGAGGGAGGTTTGCCACCACGCTAGCAGTTTGATAGCAGCACGGTGACAGATCCTGGTATTGGTTTACTCTTAGCTGGGCTTGCTGGTGGAAACGCCCAATTCTTCAGCTTGGTAAACCTTACTAGGGGTACGAATCCTGCTGTACATTGCAGTGCGACACCCAGGAACACCTCCCAGCCACGATTAGGCGGTAAACCGTTGGAATCATAGATGTTAGCATATACATTTTTAAAAATTGCTACCTTGAAATCCATGGAATCGATAAAACAGACAACTCGTACCTATATAACATGCTGTTGGCAAAAGTCAGAAGGTCTGTCACATTGGAGAGTATGCCTCCACCGGCCCACTTGTTCGAATTGTTCACCTCTGGGCAGTTCTCAAGAACATGGGCGCTATTTCGTTTATAGTAACTAGAAAGTGTACTGCGATAACTTCTGAAGTGATAATGGCAAAAATAGTATGCTTGAATACGTTCTTCGTTCGATGTGGGATAATACGTTCATTGACATCGAGAACGGTGTGGTTCATTTCTAATCGAGATGTCAGATCCTCAAGAAGCTTCTTAAATTCCATTCCTGAGACTTTTTCTAGAACAGCACTGACCAGAGTAAACCCATACGTCGTGTATCTTAATAATATTGATTTTAACTGAAACATCTACCAAACCGATCGGTTTTTTTACAAAACACTTTCTACGCTTACAGAAGTAAATAATGTATTTACAGAAGTAAATAATGTATTCAACCTGAACTCTCTCCCTGGTTTTGCTACAAGATCATCGTCCTTGAACAATTCCAATGCTTCGGTCACCGTCGTATATGGTACATTGGAGAGGAACTCTTTCTCCTCAGTGTTGCTGTTTGTGAGGTCCTCAAAATCCTTCTTTGACTCGTCCTAAAGTCGATCTTCCACGGAACTGAGTACTTATTCATAAGTCATATGGAGTATATTGGTTTTGACAGTGTTAAAACAGAATGCTGAAAGTGATGAAGTTTTACAAATAATCTTCTTTGATGGTTTGTCATGACCAGTGTTCTCGACGTCCAGAGAAAACTCACATTCAGAAGTAATTCTGTTCCAGGAAACTTCAGTCACATCTAAGAACCTCCGCTTCCAGGATTTCTTGTCAGTTACCTAGAAACCTTATTCAAAACAGAGCAAAATCTTTTTCGGTTGTCAATGGCAGACAGTGGCTTTTGCGATGAATTCCTCAAACCTCTCCAATCCAGTTCTACTCAAGCACAGCAAAGTATAACTCGGTTATTATGAGAAGGTATTTATGTAGTTCTAAAACTTCAAATAAAGGATTACTGTACCACTCATGTTGAAGTGGAACGAGATCGCTACAGCAGTAGTGACTCATTGACGGCAATCATTTATCGCTCGACGTCCTAAGGAATACGAAACTACCATTCCAGCTGGACTAGATCATCTCACACTGTCTATCTTGATACTGTACTTTAGTACTAGACAACACATGGGTGCTCGACGTCCGCACTGCACGGCAAGATGTTGCCCCATGGCGACTCGGTGCGGCCCTGTGTGCACCGGGTGGAGTCTCGCGGGTTACTTCCGTTTCAACAACTGGGACAACCAGAGTTAATCACCTTGTTGCCCGTGTTATAGTGCATTGTGTGCGTTTCTGAGTTCAGATTGGCTTCTGGTGTTCCAGAATGTCGCTGGTTCCATCTGCAGTGCGAATCGCGACGAAAGCGCGGGCAACAGTTCTTGTCCGTAGTGCTAACTATCACGAAAAAGTAGGTATCAGCTTGTTCAAGGCGATTTTTAGTACTATTTTTTGTTCGGTTAGGTGATTGACCACTATGAAAATCCACGTAACGTTGGGTCTTTGGACAAAAATGACCCGTCCGTTGGTACAGGAATTGTGGGTGCACCGGCATGTGGTGATGTTATGAAGTTACAAATAAAGGCAAGTTGTTGTTAATCCCTTTATATGTGGTCTAAATTCTTAGATGTTACCGTGAAACTAATCTACATAATATAATACTGAAGGTTGACCAAAATGGGAAAATCGTTGATGCCAAGTTCAAGACATTTGGGTGTGGCTCGGCAATTGCTTCGAGCAGTTTGGCAACAGAATGGATTCATGGTAAAACGGTGGAGGACGCTGCGAATATTAAGAACGATCAAATCGCCAAGGAGCTCTGTCTTCCACCAGTTAAACTTCATTGTTCGAGTGAGTTGGTACACCGTAGATCGCTGGTGATGTATCTTCGTAGAACTGAAGCATATTTGCTCGAATTTAGTTGTTTTGTTGAGATTCTTAAAGTCGTAGTTTAATGTTAGACTTGTATGGAGATCTTTTGTTTAAGAACTGAGTTACATTTTAGTGCTGGCCCAGGACGCCATTCAAGCAGCGCTTAAGGACTATAAGAAGAAACAAATGAAAGGGCCAAAATCCACAGAGTAGACTCGAAAATCCACAGAGTAGACGATAAGTCTTGTAAATAAAGCTTGTGAGTAGAATTGTTCGTGGTAAAAGAAGTAAAGTGATATTGAGGTGGACCTTCTCGTTTACCTTTGAGTCCTTTCTGTAGTGGCGTATGCCACCAGTGTGTGAGAGCAACTGCCTTGTTGTTATATCCACATATTTGCCTTCAAATTTCTTCTTTGGGAATTCCGGCAAGTACGTCTGAAATACTCGTTCTGATCGATTGCGATGAAAAGACATCGGATTGGATGGATTACTTGTATTGGTTTATCCAGATCGAGCTTTCCTTCTTGCACAAGCCTGGCTGTGATGGACGCCGTGATTGATTTGCTTATACTGGCAATCCGCATTATCTGAGCATTGTCTTGTTAAATAAGCGACATTTAGGAAATCGTGACATTATAACTGAGTTAAACTCGAATGAGTACCCACTGAATCTGCTGTGCAACGACTTCCACTCTCTATATTAGCGAATCCAAAACCTTCGCGCCAAACTGTCCGCCCATCCACGCTTACTCCAACTGAAAGCCCAGGTATTCCAGCAATTACCTTAAATCACAGCATCTTATAAAATCGAATAGCGACTACGTGATGTCTTGTTTTGGATTGCCAAGACATAACTGATGCAGTTAACTACGGATATCCCATCTGTGCATAATTTTTGGCCTTACACACATTTATGGTAGGGTTCCACATCATTACAGCAGTGGGAGTTCTCATGTCTACGATCTCGGCGGAGTAAGAATGAGAGGAAGAATGGGCTAAGTCGAACCTATGACCAAGTGTATTGTAGTGCACTTCTAAGCATTGTGCTACATGCGCGCGCTCTTGTCATGCTTTCTCAATTTTAAATGAATGCTACCACTAAAACAACAACTCATGTATCCTCAATGGACCCTCAAAGCAGAAAATGTTCATAATTATTGAGCTTCTTGTGGTCTGAAAGCCTTTTTACAGCAAGCATTCACCTACGATATGTGTATGTCCTATCATACCACCTCACGATGTCCTACTAACTCATTCGCGACTACGCGCATTTCGCACAACACGCATTGGTTTCGACGCATCTTCTGAGTGGTCGTTTCCTTTTCTGCGTCGACTTTCCTTCCAAGAACGTTCGATACTAAATCAATAACTCTTATACCCTGAATGAAACGAGGGACGGTATTTTTACACGTCGCAATTTGTAACAAGTTGCTAAGACAATGATTATTGAACGATTCGAGGCGGAAGCAGTAAGAAATCTGCTCATTTCTGTCGGGCACGATGCTGCCCACTTGGTTCTGCATCAGCGAATGACGCAAAAAGCCCGAATAACGCACTATGTACAAAAACCTTGTCTTGCTCTTGGTGAGAAGATAGTTATGTGTTTTTTGCCGCAAAGGATAAAAGATAAAGCGTTCATCATTGGTTAGTTCTTGAGAGATGATCCATACATTCGTTTTCATAAAACGTCGTAGAGGTGACTGAATGCATATCGCGCCATGCAATGAATTGCGGTAGCCTACCGATGTATCGAGTGAGTGTTTCCCAAATAAGCCTAGTACTAATTTCGAGAACCCGAAGGAATGGAAGGCTTAGTGAGACCGGGGGGCGGGATCTATCCAGCGACCAATTTGGAGTGTATTGGAAAGCACCTCTAACCATCGCGTTACTCTCCCGCCTCTTCCTCTGGCGTAAAAAATACACTTTCAGCAGTTCACTGTATTCGGTCAAACTAACAAGGACTACCTGCTGGAGGCGACTGCTTACTGACTCACACTTATTCGCGGTTGTATGACTGGACATACATAACCACAGTCAAGCACACGCAGTACAATACGACTGCACACGTATGGAGATATAAGTTTATTTCGAGCAGTGGAAAGAGCCCATATACTAGATCCAATGATTATCACAATAACCTCATAGTCGTTTTCAGTGAGCTTTTAACTTTCATATGCGCTATCTCGACATGTCAACGACAGGACTGAGCTGTCCAGATCTCAGTAGCAAGTTGTCTTCATGGACAGTCGTTACCAACAACTAACAATAGTTTTAAATAGTATCGAGAAACAACGTCTTGACCAAATATTTGAACATCTATATCACATACTTACCATTTGACGTTGTATGGCTTGCCGAGCTTTCGCCTTCTTGGCTTCCAAGCCTAGCGGCTTTTCAACATTCTCTTCGATAGAGTCTGTGTACTGGAGCAAACCTTTATTCACCACTCCGTACGCCAAGACTGATGCCACAAATGCTGCAGGTCGTGCGGACTTGAACCACATGGTTTGTTTACTAGTATCGCTGAGTTTAGATCTGAAATAGTGTTCTTGCGTACTTCGACAAGTACTCAAAGCAAGATTGATCTGTGCACAGTATATTTCACATCCGCTTTTTGTGACCACAGAAGTATCTGTCATTGTTCACACAAAATACCCATCAACATTTTAACTTTTATTTTTGCAGACTTTTTTTTTCATGACAGGGCGAGATGTTAAATGGAATCATAGTAATGCTGAGGTGTGAGCAAAACTATCCGTGAAAAAAGAATAGGCAGGAAATAAAGGTCAAAACATTGCAACCGACTGCAGTTCCAGCTTAACTAGGTTCAATGCCGATTCGTGTTTTCGAAGATCATTCTCGCTTATGTGTGGCAAAGCAAGGACCTCGGTTGGTTTTCTGAATAACACGTGAACCCAGCAAAGCTTATCGCTGGTTTGAAGCCTAACTGAAGTTCCAAGTTCTGTCCGTATCTCAACATCCCATTTCTATGGCTTTACAAACAATCAAAATTTTTACGGAATTTTTTGCAGAAATCTCAGCCTTTATCAAGGAGCTTCAATGAAGGTGTAGCTAACGAAGTCTTGTTCTTGATCGCACGTTTTCACAGCCACGGATTCAACCTAAATATTAATAATATTTTGGTATAGGAAAAGGTTTTGGTATGTGACATACAGCACCGGCCGTATAGCGGCGAAGATTAGCTGAAAGAATTTTCATGACGGAAATTTTGGTGTTGCGTTCAATACAAGAGCGAGTGTAGCGCAGTGGTCGAAGGCTCCTTGCAATACGCATGGGATCGATCCCCGGGCCTCAGAACCAGCAAGTCCTCCATCCCTCCGAGGTCCGCTAATTGGTACCACGGTTATCTGGGAGGATAGCAGCACTGGCTCGATACATTGGTAGGCCACCATGAGTCATTGTAAAGGCCATGTATGCGTTCAATCACCTCCAAACAAATCCAATCACCTTAATAAAGTCGAATGCATAGCGTACCCTCAGGAATTGATCAACGCTAAGAGGTCTATCGTTTTTATCCTTTTGCATTCCCAATACAAAACCAAAACTGTCCATCTTGGACGAAGAGAAAGAAAATTTTGTTAGATTAAAGTAACAATGTTAATCCGCGCATAACACCTGAAAGTGTTTTTTCGGGGACTGACAGTTAATTCTCGATCACTAGAGTATTTAAAGACTTGAAAACTTCATACATTTATTCATAAAAATTGAGAAAGAAATTTGAATTTCTGGAGCTTCCAACTCAAGTGCAACAGTAGCAAACGCCAACGATAAACTGGAGAACAATATCAAGTCGTGCTGGACGACATGTTCAATCGCATCGGTATTCCGAGCCTTGACGAAGAAATCTATAAATTTTTGGAAGAAAACAACATGAATCTCGTTTACAATGAACTGTACAATCCCAAAGTACTCATTTCAACTCATAAAGTTTAACCTGAACTGAGACCGCATTGCTTTTCTCCAGTACTTGTTAGTAATGTTTCTTATTTCTTTGCATAGCAATACGTTCCCCTATAAACAAATCTGCATTCACTCTACTAACTGCTTTATGAGGGACAAGTAGATAGCCATTTGAATAACGAGTTTAAAGAAAGCACTGAAGCAGTAGAGACACAGGTTAGCCTAAAGGTGTGAGATCGGAGCTTTACCGTGGACAGTCCTACTCATACTATAGTCGCAATAGAGGTTAGCTTAAAAGCGTGAAGTCAAGACCCTACTAGAGGTATTCCCATTCATACTATAGTACAACAGCGTTCTGCAAAGGATTAATGGGACCAGATATGATCTGACGTTATCATGATGTCAGGACCACGTACAACATCGTGGCTACTGGCAAGTTCTGCTCACTCCGTTCCACTAATTCTGTTTAGATTTCTCCCTGAAATGGCACCACATACGGAACATCACTTTCTTAGAGTCCCACCTATGGGCATTGTTAGCGGACATTTATCCATCATACTAACGAACATTTTCTCACAGCATTATTATATCAGATCCTATCTTAGTTCTGTAGTGACAATTGTATAAAGAGGCATTTCGTTGCTTCACATGATGCAATAACAAGCCGAAACCAAACCAGAGAATTCCTCGACCACATGTTTTACAGAGACGTCATGGCAGCATTTCTAGATAAGTCGACAGCCAATCGAGAAGCTTGCTCACATGATAATTTACTGCATTTCTTCAAATGTATAGTTGATGCAGCCGAACCAGCCGCAGAGGGCTACAATCTGAGAGTCAAGTCACTATACAAAAATCTCACTACCAACTGCAAATGCGCTACCAAAAGGCCACCTTGTGTGGTGGTAATTTGACGGGTTGTTTAGAATTCATTCCTTTCCCAACAGATACAAGAAAAGATGGCTGAAATGCTGGTCCTCGTCCATGATCTCCACAATAGCGCATAATCAAGTGCACTGCTCAAAATGTCATAAAGGTTCTAAAAATGAAGTTCTTAAATAAACATATAGGCTTTGCCATGAAGTAAGCTATAAGCTCCTCCTAAAGCACCAGCCTATATTTCACGGCGGAGCACATGTAAGTTTAAAAAGAGCCACGAACTTCCTACTTACTTACCACTTGACTGCAACTCATTTGGTTTGCAACAATGAGTGGTTACTGATCTTCTTCTTCTACTACTTCTGATCGAACAGTCCGGAAGCAGTTAAGTTCTATCTTTTGGACAATTGGTGACTAAAGATTCCAACAACATAGAACGTGGAATAAAAACAACACTCTGAGAACCGATGGAAACGCCTCATTATGTCAAGCTAGATTCTTGGTAGTAGCAGAACACGCTGTGGACAATTCTCTTCGTTTTCCAGATGTTAGTGGAGAAACTGAGTAAGCGGCTAATTATCATGATTTGACGAAAGCCTTTATAAATTCGCAGTAAAGATCTCAAGGCGTAATTAAAATAAGACAAGAAGAGGAAATATTGTGGGCATTGATAAGATATCCGCAACGATGCAAATACCGACTGATTACTTTGTCCACTTTTTAGCTATTCGTTCTCCTACCAGACTTCTAACGAAGCTTGTGGGCAGAGGTACTCATCGAGGTAGAATTCCCAGTGGTTTGGAATCAATCGTCATAGAATGTTAGGTAACATAATCATCATTATGTAATGATAGTGTGCTCATCCTCAATACATCTGGTACATCCTTTACGACAGTAAATGTCACATATTTCAGCTTTAAATGGACTATACTAACGAATCCTCTTGTCACTGCGGATTTCTTAAGAATATGAAGAACGAGTCAGAATTGCTCGAAGATGTATAGGTGGATCAATAGGTTGCGTTCAATACATGGACAATTATCAGAGAACTCGAAGAAGTGAACTTGAAGATCCGGTTTTTTAGTTCGACAAGAGCAGCCACCATAATGTGCGCATGTGAACGAAGGTGATCGGCGTTGATCAATCCCTGAGGGATGCGCCATGCATTTAACATCATTAAGCATCGTCGGAGGTGATTGAACGCAAATCTGGCCTAAAGAATGACTCGTGGTGGCCTACCGATGTATCGAGCCAGTGCCGCTATCCTCCCACATGTCCAGTACCAATTTGCCGACCCCAGAGGGATGGAAGGCTTGGTGAAGATGGGGTCAGGGATTGATCCCATGTGTATCGCAGGTCGCCTCCGATCACTGCGCTATACGCGCTCAGTATTCCATAACGCTGGCAAATGCACTCAAGTACGAAGGAACTCTGTCAACTAAACGATTTGAGATTCTTCGATGTCTCATGCACAGCCTTCACATCGTATACACACTATCACGATCAAATTATCTCCTCACCATGTGTACCCTTTATCTATTGCCCGTTATTTTCTCACCACAGGATATTGTGTGAAGTATAACCGCAATGATGCTGAAATCTGAGCAAAACGTGCACTCCAGGCCAGATGGAACCCCAATAACCGCTTCCGGGGCACCCACTGCACCACTGAGGCCCTCGTTCTGCCTTGCTTTCAGCCAGTGTTTCTAACCTAACGGTGCCATCAGCAATCACTCGTTAACGCGAATGGTCGGGGAGCACAAATCAGTATTAATGTCCTGTGTCCTCATCATCTACATTTGACTTACACTTGCATCGATTTCATGCGCGTACCGAACATTAACCTTCTTCGAATTCGTCCATCGCCATGTTGTCATTCGAACCACATCTTCAAATATTTTCTACCTGCCATGGGAAAGATAAGCTAACAGGCAAGTGCCTAAGAGTCGAAAGCTTAAAAGGATAAGCCAAGCGGACTAGAACTATGGACGAACATGGACGTTTCCTCGGAGCTATATTTTCATTTCACTGTATGTACATGCGTACAAGTATGGTAAGAAGTGTTTACATATAGAACCACTAGTCAGAACACTTGGATCCTCGAAGAGAAAGAGGTCATTAGTTGCATTCGCTATGCCGAAGCCGCACCGAACAGCACTTTAAGTCCATTTCATATGGACTAAACTACTGCTAGCGGCCTTAATCTGCTACACCATCGAGTAACGTAGGTAGTAATTGATACCTAACGTCCCTATGCTATCTGCTATTTAAGAACGTTTAATTCCGACGTTTTTACTTCATTAGGGGAAATGCCATCGTAAAAGCGCTATGTCTTGGACAGTACAATTGATATTTAAAAATACAAACCGTAGTTTGTGAAAATGAGAAAGGATTGTGAAAATAAATAAGACAATGGAGCCTTTCCTCCTTTCTTATCCTGTTTCCACTATTGGAGCGTCTTTCCCGCATTGGGATACGGTGTCCATCAAGTTTCTGTAAATACGGAAATGGTCGTTTCCAATCATCGTTTTCATTTCAGCTTTTAGTACAGCTTCCTGATTTACCCTAAAGTTGTGTTACTAACGATGTTAAGTTATTACTTGTAATGATATTTTAAAACCAACTGTCTTTTAACCTCGGTATAATCCACCAATATGTAGTCTTTGTTTGATAAGTTCACACAAGGTTGATAGTGGGCTGGGATCATCGGCCCTGATGAAGACGAAGACGTCGGAACGCGTTAGCCGAGTAAAAGTCATTTATCAATCTCAAGTAAACTTGTCAAAGAAAGAGTATTTGTATGATGTTTCTTACTTTCCAGGACGACGATGTTTCTAACGCGAAGTGAGTACGACCGTGGGGTGAACACGTTCTCGCCGGAAGGCCGTCTTTTCCAAGTTGAGTACGCCATTGAAGCTGTTAAGGTAGCATTTTCATGGTTCACCTTCATGCTGAACATCGGTGAACTTTTTCTTGACAGTCACATCGGCACGCTATGTGTTATGTTTTTATAAATTAGCTTGGCTCCACTAGCATTGGAATACGCACGAAGGAAGGTGTACTCTTGGCCGCCGAAAAGCGATCGACATCGAAGCTGATGGTAAACGATGCTATCGAGAAAATTAGCAAAGTTGACGAGCATGTAGGTAAGTGTTGATCTCCATGGCTAACTCAATCATCCAGTTGTTTTATTTGTTTTGCTGACAAGTAGCTCATTAATGGAACGTTTAGGACAGTAGGTTTTATGGGACTTTTAGTAGGAAACAGCGGGAATTTGAGAGAATGTGTGGAGGACACAGTCACGTAGTTTTCCACAAGTGGTATAAACAAGTTACGAGTGGTTGTGATGATATATTCTGGTTCTGTGTCTTCAAAATATTCTTAAAAGGCTGCGTGAGTAAACAGTACAGAAAACGAAACCGAAACAAATACTTACTTGGATATTTGGTTGGCCCGACTTCACTGGTTCTACGGGCTCCGGCATAATTTCGATTTGTCGGAGTTTTGCTGGTTTAGCTATTATGGTTCCATGCAGTCCCGAGTTTAGCGTAGCCAAAGTCTGCCCCCAGTCGTCACTACCACAGGCAGTCGCCGCTTTTGTAGATTAGAGAAATCTGCCACTATGCGACTAGTTTTATAGGAGGACGGTGGTGAATCTTGGTATTGGTGTAGTGTTAAATGGGGTTCCTGGTGGAAACACGGGGCTCCTCAGTTTGACAGGCCCTGCTATGGAGTGAATCCACCCTCTGCACATCGCAGCCCGACACTCAGAAACACCTCCCAGCCATGATGAGGCGGTAAACCGTTGGGAGGAACCGAGGTAAATAGACGGTTTTATCCAAAACTAAAAAGAAAACTAGCAGACTATTATCTCTCGTTGGAGGTTCATTGTGTTGTAGTTCACAGGTTTTTTTGTACGTATAGGATTCTATTAGACTGGTTTACTGTTCTGATCATAATTCGTGACAAGCTGAACAGAGTTGAATCCGTATACTTCACAACAGGTATTACGTTTGCTGGCTTGATTGCCGATTCACGTACCCTGGTTGAACGTGCTCAAATCGAGGCACAGAATTTCTGGTTCACCTACAACCGAAAGATTCGTATCGAAGATGTCACGCAGTCAGTCGCTAACCTTGCACTTCAGTTCGGAGACGATGATGTGAAGGTTGGTATTATTAAATGACTTGTTTACAGTTTATTGTTCTTAGTAAATATTTATGTATATCTATCTAATGCGCTGGCATTTCTTGTTAGCTTTTTTATTTTTGCATTAGGTATGTAGTGCTTGCACTATATTTCTATAAGGAGTGATTTTAACACTGCAGGTGTGCTATGCAGTACAACCGACCTTACTTGATATACCATTGTATGACTGGAAGTTATTCTGTATGCCAATATGCATTTGATTGTATCTAAGATGCTTGATGGAGTCGATTGAATGACTCAGGGTTTGATCAACTCCGAACACTATTTCAGGCCTCTATGTCGCGCCCGTTCGGTGTTGCGATGCTATTTGCCGGAGTGGATCAAGAAGGTGCTAAACTTTTTCATCTAGACCCTTCAGGCACTTTCATTGATTGTAAAGCGAAGGTTGGTGGAGTTGAGCTGTCACCGTAACTTACGAGGTTTCGTGTTCTCTGCACCTCAATTCTGTCTGTAAATTATACTTCATCAAACGGTTTTTTCAGTCAATTGGTGCTGCAAGCGATGGTGCAGAACAAAATCTTAAGGAACAGTATCATGATGTATGACTTACTATTTTCTTGTCTTTACATTTAAATGCGCTAGCCGCATTAAATTTCAGCTCATGTAGAATTGTTTCGAACGACCTGTTCCAGAATATGTCGCTAAAGGAAGCTCTGAAGGTTGGCCTTGCTATTTTGAAGCAAGTTATGGAAGAGAAGTTGAATAGTGCCAATGTTGAAGTTGTTGTTATAAAGCCCGTCAAGGATGATAAAGGTATGTGGCACTGATGCTTTCACCTCGTTTCACTTTATTGCGGAAATTTCTTGTTGAAAGAAGTTGTATTTCTCATGGAAGAGGTCATGTGCATTTCTACTATGGGCCTGATAAGGATTGTATTCTTTAAGATTGCTGTATATGACTTCTTTCATAAGTGGTGGGATTTCTGGAAAGTTAGGTACTCAAAAAGAAGATTAAGTTTAGTACTGGTGTTCGTTGTTAAATTTGAGGCAGGAATCTAACACGTTCAGCTTTTACTTTTAACCATTACTTTTAGCTATCCAAGTTTATGAGTCCCTCCTAACGGTTTACCGCCTCATCGTGGCTGGGAGGTGTTCCTAGGTGTCGGACTGCGATGTACAGCGGGGAATTCATCCCCTAGCAGGGTCTCCCAAGCTGAGGAGTCCGGCGCTTCCATCGGAAACCCTAGCTAAGAGTAAACCAATGCCAGGATCCACCATGGTCCTGGTATCAAAGTCGCATGGTGGTAAATCTCCCTCTGATCCACATGACTGGCGACTGCCTGTGGTGGTGACCAACTGGGGCAGATTTTGGCCAGGCTGACGGGACGCCAGGGAACCATAATGGTTTAACCAACAAATCTCCGAAAAATGGAGATTATGCTGGGCCCCTCAAATATGAGTCAAAGTTAGTTCACATTACCTTTTTAAGGTCGTCAGGTTGGAACATTCGAACGAGTCTCAAATGCGGATCTTGACGTTGTCATTTCAAGTTTATAAGCACTACATCTGTCTTTGTTTTGCCAAAGTGTGATGAGCTACTATCTTGTTACATTTGCTGCAGTTCTTGTAATAAACTTATTATTATAGCTGGATATTGGTGTTCTTATGACTTTCTTTCATATTTTTGTTAGTGAATGACTTTTAAACATTTGTACCCAAAATTTGATTGGAAGAGTTGCTTATTAACATTGGTTAGTATTGCTACATATGTTATAAATTGTTATATTATCTCACTCGGTGCGTCCTCCCAATGGTTTACTGCCCCATAATGGCTAGGATGTGTTCTTGGGTGTCGAGTTGCGATGTACAGCGGGGGGACCCAGCTGGGCCTCCCAAGTTGAGGAGTCCGGTTTTTCCACAAGGAAGTGTAGCGAAGAGTAAACCAATACCAAGATCCACCGCCATCGTGGTATGAAACCAGTCGCATGTTGGCAGAATTCCCCTTGGTCCATAATGTCGGGAACTGCCTGTGGTAGTGACGACCTGGGCAGACTTCGGCTAAGCTGACCTCAGGACTCCAGGGAGCCACAATGGCTAACCCAGCAAAACTCTGATAGAGAGAAATTATGCTGGCTCCCGCACATCCAGTGAAGACGGGTATTCCAATTATCTAAGTAAGCAAAGGGCGCGTGTAGCGAAGTGATTGGAGGCGCCACTGCGATACACACGTGAAATTGATCCCCGCACCCACGGCCCACCAAGCCCTCCATCCCTTCGAGGTCGGCAAATTGGAACAAGACTTGTCTGGGAGGATAGCAGCACTCGCTCGATACATCGGTAGACCAACGCGAGTCATTGTAAAGGCCAGATATGCGTTCAATCACCTCCAGCGATGCTTAATAAACTCGAACGAATGGCGCATCCCTCAGGGATTGATCAACGCCGAGAGAGAGCTTTAAGTAAGCATTCGATGCACACGTATGAATTTGTCTCCAGCATGCGTCCGATGTCTTCGTCCTTCACCATGGATCAGTCTATAGGATTTCTAGCATTCTGTTGCTCTGTTGCCCAACTTGTTTACTCTTGTTTCTTCAATGCTTAACTTGTTTGAGTTCGATCCCATTAAAAGTTTTTCACTTTCGCTTTGCTCTCGCAAATATCGAATGTTCATTGACGTTCAGAAGAATGTTACCTTATGAACCATTCTATAGAGAACATTCTTCACCAGCATAGGAATGTTCTTTGTGTAAAACACCTCAAATACTGCTTCCGGTGACCTTATTCTTTTTTTTCTTTTTTTTCTGTATTGGTGTTTTTTCTTCACCTTTAACTGTCTTAAATCTATCTTCGCATCTTCTCTTAATTGCCTCTTAGCCACTGCCTCACGCAGTTGCCTGGCAGGTGGCTGAAAAGAGATTCTACAACTTGCAGTAAACTGTTCTCTTTGTCGGGCAGTTCGGGCACTGAATCAGTAGCAGCCAGTTGAATGTGCTTTCCAGCATCTGCCGTCCCAAAGAAGTTTCCGAACAAGCAGCTGCGCCCTTTCACATGTAGTCCTATCAGATTGTGCTAGTAGCAAAGCTTTAGAACCTCTCTCTAGGCATGTCTTTAGTTCTCTCTTGCAATGCTCCACCCATTACAGAAGGAATACAAGCAGCCCACGGGCTTTCGTCTTCAAGCGTTCGTAGCGTTCGTCCGGTGCTCATCCAATCTCTCAGTTCATCAGTGCTCCAACTTCAGTGTCCACCTAACTTCCTTCAACTGCATCGCTTGTTCTCATTTCAATCTCGCTCGTATATACCCACTTAACCACATATCGCCACATACCAGATATTATTATTGTACAGTTGTTATTGCTATAAGTTATTGTAACCCAAACTCGACGTTGTTCACGACAGTTACGGAAAAAGTTCCGTATGGCAGTTACAAGGACTAATATCTACAACGACTTGGTGTTCATATAAAGTTGGGATCTCACCGCCGCAACAGGTACTTTTGGTGCATTGGCCAGGAATCGAACCCGGATCGCACGCGTGGCAGGCGAGCATTCTACCACTGAAGAAGTGGTATTTGAGATGTTTTACATAGAGAACATTCCTATTTTGTGAAGAATGTTCTCTATGCATCCCGTTTATGACCTCCTGTGTTCCCCTAAGGTTCTTTCCTCAAAGTCTCAACTATCGAATTCTGCCATAGTTCCTTTTTCGCATCCAACCATTTTGAATTGAGTAGGTTGGATTGGTATTGTCGCGCCTAAACGTAGCTCCGTAATCAGTGAGGTGCAATAACGTTACGATATGTCGACGGACCAGTTTATAAGACCCCAACCTTATGAGCCGTAGTGAGCGACAATTAGCTGGAAAGTCTTCAAAGTTGTTACGTAACAATCTTAATCTTCAATTATGACATTTTATCGTGATGTATTAGTGTAAATTAAAAACATGTTCTATCTTCACCATATTTTTAATGTAAAATCGGTTCGTATCCCGCGTGGCTGTTCCTCAGAGACAGCCTCATGGTTTCAAACTTGAACGTCTAACTATTCCAGTAACAAAGTAACCAGAGAATTCCATGTCACCACATGATCACGCACAACTTGAGTACCGCTCTGAGTACTGGCGAGAAATAGGGTTGGAAAATTACGATGGATTGTCCACTCCGGATATGTGGACATGCACATAAAGAATCCAGCACATTTTCCCACCGAACTGTAGCATGGGTTCGAGCCTTGGAAAAGCAGTCACATTGTATTCATTGAAACCCAGCTAGAATCGAAAATTGCTATTCATAATTTCCATTTTCCCATACCTCCGAGACTCCTGAAACTACTGCGAGTTAACACAAAACGGCGCATATACTATAAAAGCGACCAACAGCTCCTCTCTGGAATAAAATTCTCGCTACGTGTTCTAGCAGGAGGCTATTTGTCATTTCTTTTATTAAGTGACCTATCTTCCCATATTGAGCGGATCCCAGAACTCCCTCTATTTACTTCACCGGCTTGCATCCATCGCTAGTGAAGATCTTCAGATTTACACGTGGTTCCGGTGTAGAGCTTTCCCCAAACAATTTCGGCACTCATTGCTGACCTCAGGGCGGCGGTGGGCTGGCTAGTTCAGTGCTGGGTTCAGTCAGTGACCACGCGTTTCTTCCATGTCATCTCTGAGCGCAATGCTTCCTACTGCCCAAAATACCAGCAGAAATATTCTTAGCGGCTCTTACATAATTCTTACTAAGTGCTAAATCGTTTTCATGGTTTCTTCTTCATTTCCATCATTAAGTCCTTTGTGCTGCAACAAAACACTCCTAAGTAACTGAACTCTCAATAAAAAGACAGGTTTGTTCACTGCCTGAAACGAAAGGATTCTGACTGATTCCAAAAGGCACTTAGCAGAAGTGATTGTAAGCGACAGTTAAGTTCCACTGTTGAACGGTTAAAATGTTTACCAATGTAGATCGGATGGCACGTAAAGCAATCGTAACTGTTTCATTTCTAAAGGAGTGGGCAACATCCCAAACGAGAATACTACTTAAATCATCTTATAAGTTACTAGCATAGTACTAGTACGACGACAACGCGACGAACATCTGTGCGATGCACCCATCTCACCACTATCACGAAATCTCTATTGCTGTTCCCCATTTCGAAAATTGTTCCTGGAAACAACGATTTGTTTTCGTGTTTTCGTTGATTCTTCGCAAGACGAGCTAACCATTCACCACCATGTCTGGTGGCGAGCTGTCGTTCCTTCTGAAGAACGATGAATCTTTCGCGGTACAGTTGTAGTATACAGAATCAAATCTAAGATTACAGTAGCGACAAACGAAACTGCACCGTAGACCAGTGTGCATTCCTGTACGAGGCTTCTACGGATTATTCAGAACTTATAAACAACTACCATTACAACCGATGCCATGGAGAATTCATGCAAGTGTTGAATGAAGTGACCTCTCACATATAGGAGCTGGAACGAACATCAATCACACGACCTGTCGATCTCATAGATGTTCATTCGACATCCACGTGCCCATTCGAGTTATTTGGACGGAAATAAGGCTGTGAGCTAAAGTTATTTCAAGAACAGTTCCGGTGTTGTCCTTTCGAATGAACGTTTCTTTTTCTAATAATGCTTCATGCTTCGGTGTTAAATTACACCCCATTAAAACACTTTTTCAACTCTACACTTCTGATAATGCTTTCTATATTCAGGGATTCTGGAATTTCTTGTACTAACTGGAGCTTAGAAGTGAACTAGTGCAGTGATGGTGATCCCGTTCAATAGGTACAATACTCTGGCTTGAGTCCGCCGGCGCAAACTAAGCTATCTCTCCGGAGTTGTTAAATTTATACCAGACTTGTCTGGAGTCAATCCGCAACCTCCAGTTCACGAAATATGACGACCGCCGATGATGAAGATGCGGAAATGCCCAAGCTCGGCTATTCCATAGTTCTGGAGAAAATCAGCTCCACCAGCATTCGACGACGTTGAGCTGGTCAAAGAACCTTCAAGCAGCATCTAATGACGTGAAAAATCCGAAGATCTTCGAGAATCGTTGATGCGAAAAAACAAATCAAATGCAAGAACAGCTAGGATCTGCACAATATATATGATGCTGGCTGGTGTAAAATAAAATCAAAAGTAGAAAACATCCAAACTTAAATTCACTTCAGACAAAGTTTTGATAGTAAACTATCGGTTTCAAAGGTTGTGCGATGAGAGAAAGAGCTATGAAGATGCGATTGTTGTGGATGACACCATATATATTTGACGAAGACCACTTGGGGGCGTTGACTGAAACAGAGATGCCCCAATAATTCCAGAGTTTGTGGAAGAACTAGCTACGATTAAGGGAGTTGTTTTGGAACACTTCAAGCGAATTGAGGTCTAAAAATAAAAGGCTCAATAAGCGGGTTCAGCATTGGCTCGATGAGAAGCAGAACATAAGCTCGTTATCGGAAACAGTGTTCTGCACTTCTGTTGCGCAATAGAAATGGTGCATTGAGACATTTGAGGAAATGCGTATTCTTCACAAATAATGCACAGGAGATGGGCAGT